TATATCAGTCGTAGTCATTCATTTATGGCTGTCAAGTAGTGCTAAGCTCAGGTTTTCTTCTGTGTAGAATATTGAAGCGTCGAATTAAGACAATACGCGTAATTGAAATGCCCTCAGACGTCAATGAACATTCTTTAAAAGTTCGCGAGCCTCAAATACTCAAATTGTTTGCGGCGCTGATTTTTTTGTTTTTTTTTTTGGTTCGGTTTGATATTTAAGTTTTAATTTATAGCTTGGAGATATAGCTTATTTTTTATGGTCGAAAAAAGTCTTTTTAAAAAAAAAGTTCGCATGTATATGTACCCTTCCATTCTGTGTTAAAGAACTATGTGATTATCTTTTATAAAGGTCGTGATGGTTTTTTCTCGTTTCTTTTCAGGAAAAAAGCTTAGAAGTTGTTTGCGCTCAAATTTGTTTTTTGAACTCCAAATAAGAATTCTCAATTTTTTTTTGTTCACAGGATGTGAAGTTTTTAAATGATTTTTTGAACAATTTTCAAAAAAAATTTAGTTTAAGTTTCATCAGCTTTGCAAAGTTTAAAATTCTCAACCCTATAGTTGAGTGCCTTCATGTTGCTCTCAGGGGTTATAGGTTTTGCCTTCAACTATGACTGCTGAAAATTTCATTATTTCAGAGACTTCGTTTTTTTGATATTTCAATTTTAAAATAATACTCGGGAAATCCGGATTAAATTTTGTCATTTTGAATTTCTTGACCCTCTGGCAGTGTGATGTTTAGTAAGCACTCTCAGGGGTTGCACAACCCCAAACTCGATTCTGAGATAGCTTCAGTGATCTCAGATCCAACCAGACATCCATCTATCCATTCAGCCATCCATCCATCGATCTTTTCAACACACCACCCATCCATCCATCAATTCAACCATCCATGCATCCAGCCACCCATCAGTCTAAACAGCTATCCATCCAATCATACATCCATCCATCACGCGATATATTTATACATTTAACCAGCCATCGAGTCAGCTATTCAAAATCTGCCAATCCATTGAGCCATTCATCAGTCCATTAGAGCCACCCATTCATCCGTTCAGCAATGTATCCATCCATCAATCCATTCTTTCATCAAGCGATCCATCTTTGCGTCTATCAATCCATCCATTCAACCAACCATCCTTTCCTTCATCTAGCTATTCATCAAATAAGTTATTCGTCTATGCATTACTCTATCTATCAATTCAGCCATTGCTCCATCAAGTCTTTCATTCATTAAGCAACCCGCCGGTATACCCATCAATCGGTCGAACAATCAATCCATCGACCAATCCGAACAGCTAGCCATCTGTCGTGCATCCAGCCATTTGTTCATCCAATCAACTGACTAGCAAGCCATCTATGTAATCACACTTCTAGCCATCTATGCATTCAGTCTTCCACTCATACCGCTATCCATACATCTACCCGTCCATTCATGTTTTCTTTCATCCATTCATACATCCATTAAGCTGAAGTTTAAGGCAGGGAAATTAAGATGAGAGTTTATCATTTTGAAATTCTCAACCTCATCGCGGGGTGCTTTTTAGTTAAATCTCTCAGGGATTGCCCAGCTGCAAACGTGACTTCGGAGGTAGCTTCAGTCGTCTGGGATCTATCAATTTAGTCATCCATGCATCAAGCCCCCCATCAATCCAATCAGCCATCCATCAATGATACATCCATCCATCACGCGATTCATTCAACCAGCCATCGAGCCAGCTATTCAAAAAGCTGCCAACCCATTTAGCCATCCATCAGTGCCACCATTCATCCGTTCAGCAGTCTATTCATCCATCAAGCCATTCTTTCATCTAGTGATCCATTCATCCATCTGGTCTTCCATATTTTCGTCTATTATTCCATCCATTCAACCATCCATCCTTTCATTTATCTACCCACTCACCAAATCAGTTTTGAATCCATGTATTATGCTGTCTATCATTTATGCCATTGATCTATCAAGTCTTTCATTCATCAAGCAACCCACCGGTATGGCCATCCATCCATCGACCAATCCAAACATCTAGCCATCCGTCTATTCATTCATCTATCGTGCCATCCAGCCATTCGTTCATCGAATCATCTGACTAGCAAGCCAATTTTCTAATCATATATCTAGCCACATGTGCGTTCAGTCTTCCATTATTATCGCTATCCATACATCTACCCATCCATTCATTTATTCTGTCATCCATTCATTCATCCGTTAAACTTTAGATTAAGTCAGGGAAATTTAGATGAAAGATAATAATTTTGAAATTCTTAACCCTATGGTGGGGTGCTTTTTAGGTAACTTTCTCAGTGATTGCACAACTCCAAAAGTGACTTCTCAGATAGCTTCAGTTTTTCAGATCGATCCATTTAGCCATCCATTTATCGATCTTTTCAACACACCACCCATCCATCCATCAGTTGAACCATCCATGCATCCAGCCACCCATCAATCTAACCAGCTATCCATCCAATGATACATCCATCCATCACGCGATACATTTAACCCGCCATCGAGTCAGATATTCAAAATCTGCCAATCCATTGAGCCATTCATCAATCCATTAAAGCCACCCATTCATCCCTTCAGCAATGTATCCATCCATCAATCCGTTCTTTCATCAAGCGATCCATGTATCCATCTTTGCGTCTATCAATCCATCCATTCAACCAGCCATCCTTTCTTTCATCTAGCTTTTCATCAAATAAGTTATTCGTCTATGCGTTACTCTGTCTATCAATTCAGCCATTGATACATCAAGTCTTTTATTCATTGAGCAACCCAGCGGTATACCCATCAATCGATCGAACAGTCAATCCATCGACCAATCCGAACAGCTAGCCATCTGTCGAGCCGTTCATCTATCATGCCATCCAGCCATTCGTTCATCCAATCAACTGACTAGCAAGCTGTCTATGTAACCACACTTCTAGCCATCTATGCATGCAGTCTTCCGCTCATCCCGCTATTCATACATCTACCCGTCGATTCATGTTTTCTGTCATCCATTCATCCATCCATTAAGCTGAAGATTAAGGCAGGGAAATTAAGATGAGAGTTTATCATTTTGAAATTCTCCACCTCATCGCGGGGTGCTTTTTAGTTAAATCTCTCAGGGATTGTCCAACTGCAAACGTCGCTTCTCAGATAGCTTCAGTCGTTTGAGATCCATCCATTTATTCATCCATGCATCAAGCCCCCCATCAATCCAACCAGCCATCAATCAATGATACATCCATCCATCACGCGATACATTCAACCAGCCATCGAGCCAGCTATTCAAAAAGCTGCCAACCCATTTAGCCATCCATCAGTGCCACCATTCATCCGTTCAGCAGTCTATTCATCCATCAAGCCATTCTTTCATCTAGTGATCCATTCATCCATCTGGTCTTCCATATTTTCGTCTATTATTCCATCCATTCAACCATCCATCCTTTCATTTATCTACCCACTCACCAAATCAGTTTTGAATCCATGTATTATGCTGTCTATCATTTATGCCATTGATCTATCAAGTCTTTCATTCATCAAGCAACCCACCGGTATGGCCATCCATCCATCGACCAATCCGAACATCCAGCCATCCATCATTCATTCAAGTCCGCAAACCAGCATGTCATTTAATCATCCATCCAACGCTCCACCCATCCTATAACACAAAGGACCTAGCAAGCGTAATGTTATGGCGGATAATATTGGCCTACTGCCAGCGACGATGGTGCAGATGCGAGGACGTGATAATATGAATCAATATCTGCACAATTTTTTTTCAAGGCTCAATTTCAGTTTTTTTAACCTGATTTCTCGTTTTTGCCGTTTTCTCGCTTTCGTGTTTGCTAAGTGCTACTTTGCATATGTTTGCAAAGTGTTTCTTCGCCTCTGACTAAATAACTGTTGTTTTTCTTTAAATAAATCACCTTTCTGAGTAGCCAAGAATCTCAAACCATTTGCTTGATACTGATTTTATTTGAAATTTTGCTTGAAGTTTCAAATCACAACTAAAAGGCTTAAAATACAATGTTGCACTTGATTCCAAAGAGCTTTTTGCTTTTTTGGAGTACGTAAATTCACTTAGGTTTCACCTAAAGAGGTTTTTTCTTGGGGTAAATTATTATTGATTACCTTCCAGATATTAGATTGCAGGATTCTGATAAATCTTCCAGATTTTTGAAAAATAGCAAAGAGCAATTTTTTTCATGATCTGATTTTTGTTAGAGATTGTTTAACCAGCATGGTAAAAATCTATTTTGTAGACCCAGGAATGATTTTTCAATTTTTCTTTTTTAATCTAAGATAATTCAGAGAAATTAGAAAATATATATGCGATATTTGTTTCTTCTTGCTTTAAGGTGTTGGCAAAATGTGTTTTGATTAGCTTTTCATAAGCAAAACTGTTCTTTGTTTCTCTATTTTCAAGCACCATCAGCAGGCTTATCAGCAAAGGCCAGACTTTTTTTTGCGCTAGTTATTAAGCGTTATCAAACCAAAACAGTTTTTGGTGAACAATCTGTTTAACAAAATCAGTGAATCATATTATTTTCTTTCTAATCAAAACAAGTTTGAGCATTTGATTCTGAGCATAGGGAGAAATTTTGAACGTCCTACTTGGGACGACTCGTGTCAAGAAATTGTCCCCGGGCAGGACATGTGCTTTTTAATAAATGAAAAATTCCATTTTTAAGTTTTAAAGAGCGAAGTGATGTATCACTACAAAAAATAGTAGGGTTTTTCCGCGAATTGTAAGTGGTTCAAATTTTCGCGGTTGATTATGGTTTTTTTCTCAAGTGCATTTCAAATGCACTTGCCAAATGGAAAGTACAATACTCTCCAATAAAAAATTGAGTATTGCGTAAAAAATTTAAACGACTTCTAGTATCAAAAATGGACGTTAGTTTTCAGATTTCCCAGGGGAATAAAAATTTTAGCAAAGAGCAATTATTTTCATGATCTGATTTTTGTTAGAGATTGTTTAACCAGCATGGTAAAAATCTGTTTTGTAGACCCAGGAATGAGTTTTCAAATTCTTTTTTAATCTAAGATAATTCGGAGAAATTAGAAAATATATATGCGATTTTTGTTTCTTCTTGCTTTAAGGTGTTGGCAAAATGTGTTTTGATGAGCTCTTCATAAGCAAAACTGTTCTTTGTTTCTCTATTTTCAAGCACCATCAGCAGGCTTATCAGCAAAGGCCAGACTTTTTTGTTTTTTTTTGCGCTAGTTATTAAGCGTTATCAAACCAAAACAGTTTTTGGTGAACAATCTGTTTAATATGATTTCCATATTTGCTCGGTTTCAAAATTTACTAAAGCTCCATTATTTTGGCTGGTCGGTTATCCACCCAAGTTTTGTGTGCTAAGTTACCGCTTGATAAGTTTTGTTTCAATACTATTTGAACTCTGGGATTTGTGTTCTCGTTATAGAAGCAGTTCAAGTTGCTCGCTATAATGATAATATTATAACGCTTACTAATTTAGAACATTTTATATGGCATACCTTTAAATTGTAGATGTAATTTCCAGTCATTTTCATTCTGTTTCGGTATAACTCTCCGGATATTTGCGAAATTTTAATCCAATGAGTTCGGTAAATATAGATTTAAAATGTTTCCGAATGGTCTGAGCGCTAAGTTGCTCGTCCACATCTTTGACAGCTCAATTTTGATCAACAGGTTCGCGCGAGTTAAAGCAGCCAGGAAAGCGAGAAACAGACGGAGACATACCCCAGGCAAATACCGAACTATTCAAGTGGATGACGGCGACTGGGTAGAAGAAGGACAGATTTTGGCGCTGCAAAACACTTATGCTTTCTATCCTGGAGTTAATGTTAACACCGGGTAAGAATTTACAAGAAAAAATTCGCAATCAACGATTAGCAAGTCGTTCATGATAAGATTTTTTGTAGCTATGAAAAGTACAGTAGACGAGCACTTACAGCGGCGTGTCCAGGCTATGTCCGGTTCACAGTTGATGAATTTGTTCCTCCTTCGGAGTCTCAGCTGAATACGGTGATAAAATCCCGCAAGACAACTTCGCTTATTGGGCGTTTTCTTCACATCATTACACCAAAGTTACCCAACAGGTTCCGGTTGATCAGCTTGACTTAACAAATAACTGTTGAAAACTGTGTTGGTTTGTTGAATCGTTATTGCAAAGTTTATAGATTGGTGGGATTTCTTTCTGCTTAAATTTAAATTGCTTCAAAATTGATTTTGATAAAAAGAAATGGAAGAAAACCTCGCAATAGGGCTTCATTTACTACATTTTGAATGATTTTTTGTTTTCCATTGTTTAATTGGCAGCAAAATTATTCGACTGCGTTTTAAAACTTGAAATAAATCTGACCTCGAAACTGGAATTAATTACCCTTGCGATAAGCAAGGGTATTGCAATCAAGTAGTAGTTTTTGTTTCCCCGTGAAGAATTTTGTTCACAGGATGATCTTCAATTTGAGATCTCCTTTTTTTCACCACGTTGCACGTTTACCACCTCGTATTATTGTGTCTAGAGTTGATGCGTTACTAGATCTAAAGGTAAAAAAGTTTCAGATGTAAAAAATTGTTATTTTTTGTAGGCGTTATTGATTTCGGCCCAATTTTTTTGGCTGATTTGCCGGGTGATTTTGTTTAGAACATTCTATTCAATTGATTATGACGCTTGCGATTAGCAAGCGTTATCAAATCCGAAAATATACTTTTTTCGGGTTAACAACTAGTATAACAAAATCATGCTCACCTTCTTGAAAAATAATTTAAACTGCTGAGTAAGAAAACTAGTAAAAGGCTAAGGGACCGGTCAGCACCTGTTTTTTAAACCTAATCTATTAAGTATCAAAAATGTTCGGCCTATGGGTTGTCTGCTTGTGGTTTGTCTGCCTCGTTGCCACATTTTATAAACTTTTTTATGTTGTATGATATTTTTTTTGTAATTGAAAGTGTTTTTTGATTATTTATGTAATTTGTTAATCTTACACTTGCATCTTACATTTGTTAATCTTAACTAATTTTTTTTGGAGAAATCCTTTTTTAAAGCCTAAATGACCAATTTAACAAGTTATCATCTTTTTATTCGATCGCTTTCTTCGCTCGAAATTAGACAAAAAAAAAAAATTACAAATCGGTTTTTCTCGACACTGGAAACATTTTTTAGAAATTTTTAATGTTCGAAATTTTTTTATTGGTCCTCAATATGATATATCAATCAACCCTGTCCGATGATTATTTGTGGTACCTGATTTGCGTGGAAAAATAACTAAAACACACCCGAATACAAAGCGAATACAAAGTTCCTCCCCATTTTCAGTGTTCGGAACAAAAAGATAATCATTTCCATGTTTTTTGATCAAAGCAAAAAATTTTTCAGCTAAAAGGGGCAGTTAGAAAATTTAGTGCTTTGTCCTAATATACGAGTAGTTTTCTTTTCATTTAGTTTTTGGCTGCTTTGTAATTAGGTTAAAAAAATTCTTTTTTTATTTGCTTTGCTGATTATTGCCCTGAAAATGTGTTTGGATAATGCAAGTTCTGAAAAAACAGTTCAGATCAGATAATTTCATGTCAGTCTTATAAATCCTGCGCTCAACGATTATTGTAAATTGGACGATATTTGTTAGTTCGCACAACTAAAACTAGAAGCAGCGAATAGAAAAACACGTTGAGTTTATAACTTGTTAATCTTTAAAAATTAGCCATGCTTCAACAGATCGAGAAGATTGTGTTCGATAATTGATTTTCTTGGTGGCTTGGCTATGTTTTTGATAGTTTTGATTTTCGAATTTGCTGGTGGCATAAAAGTAAGAGCCATTTACAAATCGTACTGAATATTGTACAAAACGTGTTGGCTCATTCTTTTGAAGTTTTCATGTGTTGTCAAAAATTTACGTTTTGCTTAACTTAATTGATCGACCACCTTGCTAGCTCAAATCGTTCACAATTTAATAAACACAAATAGTATATGGTAACCACAAGTCATTTTGAATTTCTTTGACTTGATTGTGTGGAATGTCTCGAGAGCACGGATACAAGTACTTATCTGATGGTATACGGAAGGTAGACTATGTGCTGATTCACACGGATGTTGACGAAAACCCGGAAGATGAAAACGTCGAGGAGTCGACACGTGAACTCTTTGAATCTGATGAGATCCAAAAGGCACGGCAGTATCGAGAGACGTTCGTGGACGCCCTGACTAAGAACGGGGACCTTGACATGGAGCAAGTGAGGTTGCCAAATGCGGAATACATCTGCACTTTGTTCCACCTTCCGCCCCAAACTGCGTTCAGAATGGCAGAGAAAACGAAGTTGTTATGTCCACTTGCAGTTGATATGGGTACTTCGGTGGATACTGATTCCTTCGAGGTCTCACAAAAGGTGGCGGACTGGTGTCAAAGCAAGGTTAGTGACAATCTACCGTTTGAAATTGAGGAGACATTCCAGGCACCATTTGACATGCGAGATATGACGAAGTTTTTGAATCACGATGATCCGGACAGGTTCTTGACGCCCACTAATAGGAGTTTTCTGGTGTACAAGATAATGGAAGGTACAGCCTATGGGGATAGACACAAAGGAAAGGTAGGCATAAAACGAATGATTAATGACGGCCACTTCAGTGGTGCATTCGCACTGCACTCGGGACCCCTGCAGCCCATGGGGTCCGACAACCTGAGAAGTGTGCTTCGAACATACTGGGCGAACGGTTGGAAGTTATGGAAAAGTCAACCCCTGGACCACGTCAAACTGTACTTCGGATCCAACATCGCCTTCTACTTTCTCTGGCTGGGATTCTATACTCGTATGATGATCTGGCTAGCGCTTTTTGGATTTCTGATCTTCGCGTATTCCATCATCTCACTCCCTGCTGATCCTCAGATTGACTTCATCTGCAACAGCAATCTGACAATGTGTCCACTATGTGACCAATGCGAACCCTATCCATTATCAAACAACTGCATCTACTCCTATGTGTCGCACATCGCAGATAATAATGCAATTGTAGTATACGCCTTCATTGTGGGCATCTGGGCACTTCTGTTCTGTAAATTGTGGAAGCGAACTCAGGCAGCGTACGCGTTCAAGTGGAATGTTTATGAGCTGGACGAGGAGTATGGAAACATCCGGCCCCAGTACGCGGCTTTGGCTACCCGAACTTGGATCAACCCGATTACAAACCAGAAGGAACCTCATTTCCCGAGGTGGCTGAAAACTCTGCGAACTCTTTCTGCTTTCAGCGTCATATCTCTCATGGTGATTGTCGTGATCACTTTCATCGTCATGTGCATATTCTACCGGGTGTTCATAGCGTCCGTGTTCAAGAACATGTCTCTGATCCAGCCGACAATGATGGCTAGTTTCACAGCGGCTATTATCAATTTAATCTTCATCATGATCTGTAACCTGGTCTACGATCAGTTGGCGACTAAACTGACCGACTGGGAAATGCACAGGACGGAAGAGGAGTATGACGACTCCTTGACCTTGAAGTCTTACGTGCTGCAGTTCGTCAACTACTACAGCTCAATAGTATACATCGGATTCTTCAAAGGTACTAAGATCAAGATATAGAAATACTTATTTTGGGCCGTTTAGTACATAAGACCCGAGAATAAAGCTATAAAGTTAGTAGACAATTTTTTAAAACTGATAAATGATTGGTTGAGCAGCGGTTTTGTTTTCTTATACTTGCAAGAAACCGCCTAGCGTTTTTTTTTCCATAAATTAGTTCTAGTAAGAATGATGGAATGGCTGCTAAGTTTTTATTTATGTCGCCTGAAAACTAAATATGTCGCCTGAAATCTCCTTTGAGGTATCTCGCAATTTAAAAGCCTTAAGAAGTACTTTAGTAGTGTCTTCAGCATTGCAATGCATAAAAATTCCAGTAGAAACTAATCTTTTTCATTGGCAGAGTCATCGCATAAGCGTCAAAATGAATAATATAACTTTTTCGATTGGAAAAAGCATTATGAACGATGGACAGTACCTTTGATTTCAGGAAAGTTTGCTGGAACTCCAGGAGAGCACAAAATGGTGCTTGGAACAAGACCGGAACAGTGCACAGGGAGTTGCATGGTAGAGCTAGCTATCCAACTGACTGTGATCATGATTGGAAACCAGCTGCTCAACAATGTCATGGAGTTTGCGAAGCCCTTGATGTTGTCTATGTGGAGCAAATTCAGTGCCGGAAGGAAAAGCAAAAGTATGATATACTATGAATTTTGTGGTTACCAGAATCATTCTTCTTAGTTGTGATTCGCTGTGAAAGAACTTATTACGTTGACCTACATACCACATTTGTTAAAGCTAAAAGTTATGCAACTTTAAATGTCTTTGGCAGAACAAAAGTGCTGACAATTGTTTCGTTAAAGTGTGGACAATAATGTTAAGTTAGAATAGATATCTAGATTAGTGTCACTTGTATAACTCCACATAAGCAATTGAAGTCCACCATGTTGCAGAGTTAAATAGTCTTCCTTGTCAGATAGCAGAAGTTCATCTGTGAACACTGAAGATGGCATCAACCTGCTGGAAGAGGGAGTGTTCAAGCCAGACTTTTACGGTCTGTTCGGGGAGTACCTGGAGATGGTCATCCAGTTCGGATTCTGCACCATCTTCGTCATCGCACTCCCGCTTGCCCCTCTGTTCGCCTTGCTGAATAACATCGCCGAGATCAGAATCGATGCAAACAAACTGCTCGCGCAGGTGAGTGTAACAGCGTCGCTGAAAATTAAGCTGTGAACCGTCTCTGAAAATCTCTTAATTATATTCCTGCATGATACGAAAACTACAATTTATGAAGTTGTTCTTTTTTTTTTTTTTTTTTTGTGAGCATCGTTGTGAGCACTTGGTGTAGGTTAACGACTACGCTTGGGACGGAAAACGTTTTCTATGATAAGTTCACTGGATGTTCAATGATAAGTTGACAAACAGTTTACAAACATATTTTTGTTTTATGTATTTTTAAATTTCTTGAAAAAGTTAAGAATAATTTTGGGTAAAACTGAAAATAATCGGAGCTTTTTATTTTTTTCTTTAATCTTTTGGCGAAATCATTCTTAGTACTTGGTCATCAGAAACTATAGTGTGTTCATACTTGTACTTATTTCAGTGTGCTCCAATAAGCTACAGGGTAGCTTATATAGGAGGCAGAGACCAAACAAATTGAGACCAAAATTGATTATCTAGCATCATGAACGGATCTTAGACCAAGGGTTTAGTTCATAAAAAAAGATTTTGTGCAATGATGCAATACATCAAAACAGAACTCAAATGTGTGTATCAAGAAATTTTAAACAATTTTGTTAAATTGGTACCTATTTTGGGTTTCATCAACATTATCTAATATATGCATCTTTTTGAATAAGTTATACATTTTATCAATCTGAATGCAAGCGTATAGTTAATGCCTGTGCCTCTTAAGTATTGAAGCTTAGCTTCTCTAAATGATAATCGAAATGTTTAAATATAAACTAAAAGACAATTGAATTTTACTTATTTGCAACAGTAAAAGTACCTGTAGGGGTTGAATTGATGTTGTGCCTTTTATTTTTTCTGGAGTTTTATTTCGTCAATTCGGTTTAACCTTCACGATTTTTATTCGTCACTTGGCGCTTTTAATCGTTTTAGGAATGATTTGTATTTATCATTTGTCACTGGTTTGAATCATCTTTCTGTCTCTGTGTTTTTGATTTCTGTCAGTTCGTTTTGTTGCACAGTCTTTCGGATCGTTTAGGGATCTTTCATTGTTTACTGGGAATGATATTGGCTAGTTTTTGCCACTTCATCAGGATTTTTTTTCTTGACAGTTGTTAATTGTAGTAATAAAGCCCATATTGTGTACTTTGCTCTGATTATCGGCATCCCGCTTCGATAAACTTTAACGGATAAAGATGGGTTTTCGTTTCTTAGCATTCAGGTTTTCGGTACATCCAAGAAGTTGCTTCTAGTGATATATGGCTTTTTTCTAGGCTATTAGTGGGTGGATAGAAATATTTGCCTTTATTGAAAGGATGACATGACCTGTTATCACAGGGTGTAACCTTCCTTGATTTGAAGACTTTTGTCGAGGAATTCGTAGATGCTGTAGCAAAGTTTTTTCAAATCAAAAGTTGCATTTCAAATATAAAACAATTTTCCGAGCTGTAGCGCTTCATTTCCGATAAATTTTCTTCTAAGCTCTTCACTTCGTTTTTCAAATCACAGTAGCCTCAGTTTGGTTGCTGGTAGTTTCAGTCTTATGCCTCAACTGATCAAGTATAATTCAGGATTGGTTTAACTAAGACGTCACAGTTTGCAGAATCCAATTTCGTCATGATCTCTTGGACAAGATCAATACGGATTTCTGACATCTTAAACTATAAGTTAATTTTATCACAACATTTAGGCAACAGATAAACAAAAATGGTCGTTCTATCGTTTATCGGATTATGTTTTTTCGGTTTATTTACTGCATCATGTGATTTTCTTGTGCTGTAAGTTTTTAATTTAGTTGCAAGTGTTTTTGATTTACTCAAGTGTTTTTTTGTTTTTAATTTGTTGATGCACTAGTCCAGATTTTGGGAGTTAACCCGAGATTTTTGTAATTGTAGTTTTTTTGACTTTTTTTGAATTGCTTGGACCTCATGGGTTCCGTTTCATTTTTTGGCTTCTAGCTGCAGTGCTATGTTTGTGTGATATAGCAAGTGATACCAAGCTCAGCTTCGCCTCTGTGTGAAAATGTGTATGAAATTAATTTAAAAGCTGAGCCTTGTTAAACAATGATTATTCCGAGTCTCAGATGAGTGTTTGGATATCATAGGAAAATTTTATGTTCCATGCGAGTTATAATGTTCAGATATATCTATGTTCTGTTGGTTTTCAGATGATTTGTAATAGATTAGGTTTAAATGTTAGTAAAGGAGTTTTTTTCAGACGCGTCGTCCTGTGACGAAAGTCGTCAAGGACATTGGAGCTTGGCAATACATTCTGGAGACAGTGAGCATTATCGCCGTGGTGGCCAACGGCTGTCTCATCGCATTTACATCAGATTTCATCCCCCGAGTCATCTACGAACACCAGAACCATGGATCTATGGACGGGTTCTACAGCAAGAACCTCGTGGCCTACAACATGACCGGAGACTAGTAAGTTCTGGTTTAAATGAGAAATTTTAATCCAATTTGGCTATTTATCACCTTACGATTATCTTAAATAATTACGCTAAGAAGTAACAAAAGTACCGGAATCAAGTGGAAATCCAGCACTTGAGGTCCCTATGTGACAGAAGATCCTTCTTAAAGCCTAAAAATGAAGGTTGTTAACAGTCATATGAATCATTCCAGATATTCCATGTAAGTCATTTAACCTCGAAGTCTAAGCATTTTGGTGACAGACATAGACATTGAAATTTGAATGATGATTATTCGTTTTAATATTATTTGTGAGAACAAGTATCTTGTAATCGATATATATTTTTTCGTAGACAGTTTCTTATATTTTCAAGAAAGTGGTAACTGATGGAAATTTACGGGCTCTTAATTTGCTACTGGCTCATAATAAGGTGTCTATTGAACCAGGGTATATGAGCATCCGACTTGAGTTGTAGATGAAAATTTCCCGGAAATTGAATTTCGGCCTGAAGGGTGTCTACTTAATTTTATTCGGCATAACTGCCGCAGTTTTTCTGGCGAAGGTTACAGAATTTCCACTTGTTGTACGAGGGCCAATTTTTTTACGGTTTGCTTGATGCCTCTTTTTCTTGAAGTTTCTCCCGTTGATAGCCCGGAAATAATAACACGTCTGATTAGTGAGCGTTATAATATTAGCAGTTTTTTTTCAGGTGAGAAACTTGTTCAACAGAGTTATTGAATCATTTGATGGCTTGATTTATTATAAGTTCAAATTGAGCGTCTTATTCTACACCTTTGCCCTGGAAGTAAACTCCATGATTGGAACTACAGAGGTTCAAGGTTTCAACCCAGTCAGTTTTTTTTTTCTACTTCTTGTGCATATATTTGTGTATCGCAAGTGATGCGAATCTCTGCTTCGCCTCTGTGTGAAATTTATATCCGCCTGTTTTCGTTATCCGCTTGTGAGATTGTTGAAGAATGAAGAGCGGAAAAAGTTACCGGTTGATCCAGTTTTCTCGAATTGGTAAAATTTTTATCAAAAAAGTGTCCATCATGAAAGATTAATGAAACTAAGGGAGCTCTGAGATGATGTTTTTATTCTAAAATCGATTTTTTTAAAATAAACAGATGTCTGCCATTTACGCGAGCGATGGGCGTAATTGGCAGACAACTGTTTCTTGATTCGGTAATTAACAGTTCTTGATCTGCGATGCTTTTATTTCATCGATGAAGTAATTGGCTTGCCTTTTTTCTCGAGAAATACATGAAAAAATATTGACCGAGGTTCACTTTCGAACTACAAGTCTCAAGAAACATCAAAGAAGTCTGAAGATTCCGGAAATTATTCTGACTAGAGGAATTTTGCTCTCTGGTTATGCCTAATGGTTGGAAATATCTGGTTGCATTGGTCTTTTTTAATTTTCTGTCTTCATGTTGTATTCCGTTGGTTCTGTCTTCCTGCCTTCTGTTAGTATGAAAATTAGCGAGATATTCGGTTGTAAGGACCCTTATTACCAATTTTTAGCAGCATTTTCACCATAATTCAGCTGCATAATTGATTATTTTGAAGGGCTCTTTTCCAAATATAGATAATGTTAAGTTATCGCCTACGTGAATTTTAAGGCTTCAGCTGAATATTGCTTCAGTATCTTCGATCTGAGTTCGACTACTCTTTTTATCATTACACGGTGATCTTGATTCCAATTAAAGTTATCTTTCTCTGCCTAAGGGGACTTAATGACTTCATTAGGTGATTATTAGTCTCACAACATCAACCCCTGGGGCCCAGCTTCTACACGCTTTGTGAAAAGCGAAGACAATTATGCCTTGCGTAATTGGTAGCTTTGACCCCGCAGTCTTAATTCGCTACCGATTTAATATAGAAACCCATTGAAGCGAAACGACTATTTTGAGCTTCAAACAGATTATGGCAACCTTGACTTCAAGTTTTTGATTGCATTGTCTTTGGCCTGAGTTTAATGGTCAATTAAATGCTAAATTGCTTCGGGAAGTTGTTTTTAAATGTCACTTTGTTTCTTTAAGGAAATTCAAAGAATTTGCAGAAAATGCCAAACTGCAATCAAAGTTACTTTGATAATACAAATGACCGTAAGATTGGATATATGCGACGGTTTTGATTCAGATATGCTAAACTAAGCCAAAAATATTTGTCTGATTTATCTCTGAAACCACGCACGTGCTATAGGAATGAGCAGAAAAAAGGGTAACTTCCCAAATGGCATAATTCCCAAATGGCATAAAAATGGAAACTTTTCCCAAATGGCATAAATTTCACAAGTTTTCATTGTAATTTAAACGTTTTCTTTCAATTTCTAACTCTAACATTTTGTCAGGAACGAAAGCATGTGAACAAGATTTGTAATTAATTGCTTCCAAACAAATTTAAGCCACAGGTTTGCCGAAAAAATTTGACCACAAGAAGCTTATTAATAACCGCAAGCTTATGCTTCTTGCTTTTGATAAAAAGTTCTACAAGTTTTTCACGATAAAATGTCAATCAACATTTGAATTGACAATTTGACTAATTTTCTCACATTGTTCACGAAAAAATTGTTCTCGATTTTTCCAAAGCAACTGTTGCATGAAATTTATGTCATTTGGGAAATATTTCATTTTTATGCCATTTGGGAATTATGCCATTTGAGACGTAATCGAAAAAAGTATCTAGTCATAAGTTATGCAGTTAATTGCGGAATGATAGCAACTTTCACCGAAGTTTTCAAGTATTGTAATGAAATGCTTCAACAGGCCAAATATTGAAAGCGATTGATTCCTCGACTGTTAATTGTTGAGAAGGTTCATCCGATTTGTAACAAGAATACCTTCACAGAATCTTTGCTTTAATTACAGCTTGACGAGTAAATGTGGGTTCAAATTTCTACCTCAATTGACCGCTGGTGTGGGCTGAAAAGTTAAACGAATCAATCAGACGAAGTTTGTACTTGGTCATAAAAAAATTGGTTCCCGTATAAATCGTATAAATTAAGCGATAAAAAAGTTGACATTGGCATGTAAGGCACTCGGGAACTGCTGCTCTTGAATTCGGCACGAGTATTATAATTCGCGTGAATAATTTTTTGTCCTAATCCAGGAATTGAAATTAAATTTGGAAAGCCTCTGTTAAAGCTAACTCAATTCACCACTTACTTTTGATATAAGTTTTTGATATGGTTGATTTTTACCCGATTTGCTCCCCCTTTGCTTTGAAAAATGAAAAGAGGAATGTTTTTGATGTCAGTTTCAATTAGCTGATGTCCGACTTTCCTATTTTTTGCAATCTTAAACGCGATTGAAGAGGACCTAGAATCCTCCCTAGTTGACTTAATTCATTTCCATGAGCTTGCAAGAGTGGGTGATTTCTAGGTGGTGTAAAATCGACCAAAAAGTGGAGCCCAGCTATTGAAAAATATGGTGTACTCAATAGGGTGTAATATTATTTCGGTTGGGGGTATTATTTTTGGCAGGGTGTATATCTTATATATTAAATGTAACTCCGACTGCGCTATGGATGCAATGTTTAACTGAACGCAATGTTTTAGCTTTGTCGAATGCAACGTTCAAAAATTCTTAAGGCTCTAAGCCTTAAGAAAAGGCCAAGAATATTCTAGAATTTTCAAATTTTCTTAAGTCTGGAATATTCTAGAATTGTTTTTGACAAAAATTCAATTCGGTAGACAATTCTTCAAAAATTCAATTCTTCAAGGCTAGACATTGCTTGTCCATTTTTTCCGAAATTTGCGTTCTTAGGTTGATTTCATTCTGAAACGAACCAACTAAAAACATCAGCCTCCCAGCTAGAAAAACTAGCTGTTTGCTAACCGATTTGCACTATGAATTATTTTGAAATTTTCAGTTTAATCGCTTGCATAGCTTGCTTAGAAAAACGAACTTTTCGCCAATCGATTTATTATGTGAAAATTTGAGATAAATCAAAGTTTCCTTGCTTCAATAGCGTCCTTAGAAAAAGTTAAGCTTTTCGTACACCGATTTGCCCCTTTAAATAATTTAAAGAATTCAAAGTTTCATCGCATGAATCGTGTGCTCAGAAAAACGTTGAAATATTTCAAGTTATCTCATAGACCGAATCGTTTTGCGAAAAGCTTAAGTTTTTAAAGCAAAGCTTTCGCAAACATTTTGTCAGCAAGTTTTTTGCAAATTAACTTTAAAGAAACTTTAATTTGAAGTTTTCAGAGATTTAATAGCTCGCTTAGATAAATTTAAGCTTTTCGCATAACGATTCAGTCTATAAAACAACCTGAAATGATTCCAAATTTTATAGCTTTAAAAGCTTGCTTAGAAAGTTCATTTTTTCCTGAACCGATTCAGTCTATAAATTAACTTGAAATAGTTCAAAGTTTCATAGCTCTAAAAGGTTGCTAATTATTTCAAAGTTTCAGCTTGAATAGCTTGCTTAGAAAAACTTCAATATTTCGGGAACCGATTCATTCTACGAAACCTAAATTTTTTCAAACCGATTTACGATATGGCTCAACTTGAAATTGTTCAAAGTTTCATTGCTTGGATAGCTTGATCAAAACACTTTTTTGCGAGCCAATTGATTATTGCAGGCGGGCTTGCTAGTATTATTTAAACATAACGGCAAATGCTCTATGGACGCAATGTTGAAGCAATTTTTATAGGGAACAATGAATCTCGAAAGTCGTTAGGGACCACGTGCAAGTTATAAGCATGAAAATTTTAGAAGTATTTTTTCAATCTGAAGCTTAAGATTTATGTTTACGTCAAGGACAGATGTCTAGGCAGATTGTCCTTAATTTTGAGAAACCTTACATCAATTTTATTTTTGAATTATATTTTTTCATTCACAAAACTGAACTTGTAGTTGAATGCCATCGGGGTTTTCTTTTAATATTGAGATTCTACTGCCAAAACTTGGCCTTCCAGAAGCTCACATTTAATCGAGATATTGACAATTTTTAAAATCTTTCAAAAATTCTAATAAATAGAAAAATCAAAAGTATTTTCAAGTTCAA